ATGGAAACATATTCAGCCTTCGATTCTTTGGTCAAAGAACTGTGATCATTAATGGCTACAAGCTTGTCAAAGAAGCCCTAATCCAACGAGGAGAAGACTTCATGGATCGCCCCAACCTACCAATGTTTGAAGAATTGATTGGGAATAAAGGTGATAATTTTACTTAAAAAGTTTTTTAAAAGTTTTAATAAGACCAGCATCACTAGCCTGTCACCTTTTTAGCAATGTTAAAACCTAAGTCAATATGTTTTTGACTTTGATTTTAAGTTACTTTGCGTCTAACACAGTTTTGTTTTTCCAAAAGGTCTTGTGATATCAAATGGGTATCAGTGGAAGCAACAGAGGAGATTTGCTCTTCATACACTCAGAAACTTTGGTCTGGGCAAGAAGACCCTGGAGTTTTCCATCCAGCAGGAGTGCCAGTATCTCACAGAGGCTTTTGCAGATCACCAAGGCACACACAGACACACAAACACATTAAACTCACACTTTCTATGATGACACAGTAATAATACTTTTTTTTAATCTTCGTTAATAATAACCATTAATGGTTAATATGGATATATCCTTTTACTTTACCTCAAACTTCTGCATGACAACGTAAACCCACACATTACTACATAAGACTCTAAATCCAACTATTCAAACAGTCATAGTGAAACACACAACAACTTCCTACGTTTTAAACTTAAACATAAGTCCATGTAAAATTTGTTTTAAAGCATCCAAAATTCATTAATATAAGTTTACTCAAATTTTTTGTCTAATGGCCTTTTTCAGGAAATCTTTTTAATGCCCAGTCACTGTTAACCAATGCTGTGTCCAACATCATTTGCTGTCTGGTGTTTGGGAATCGATTTGAGTACACTGACAAGCAGTTTCAGTCAATTCTGCAGCTCTTCAATGAGATAGTGTGCTTGCAGGGAACCATGTGGGCACAGGTGAAACTCTTTTACATACTGTAGTTGTTGTTTGACTCAGGATTCATACAGAACATATATAAAACCACTTTAACTGAACTTTTTTGTGCAGCCCAAGCTGTTTTTGCAAACGGAGCAGTTAGTGGAGCATAAATATTGTGCATATTAGACTCCACCAACGCTGTGCTTTTTCTCAGATTCTGTCACTGATATCCAAAAGCAGAAATATTTCAATGTTGAGTTCATTTAAAAACAGTGGAGGACGAAAGTTACATATTTTGAAATCTGGTGCAATGTAAAACTGATATTAATTGCAAATAAAGTGCACTTTAAAATTGTGTTTAAATGAATTTGCTTGGTTACTTTTCTTTACTGTCTATCACAGTTTAAGCCTACTTTTGTCCAATTTGAGCTACTTAACATTAACATATTGGTTATTCTGTTTACTTCTGGTAGGTTGCTATGGGTAGTTGATAAGTGAACTGCAGGGACACCATGTGATCTAATATCTTTGAAAGCTAACTGTTTCCAGGGTGTCAGATGCTTTATTGGCTGTCTTCCTGTTCTGTAGATTTACAACACATTACCCTGGCTGATGAGGTGGCTGCCTGGACCTCACCAAAAAATATTCACTATAACCCAAAAGATAATTGACTTTGTAGAAGTCAAGATCAAAGAACACAGAGAAAACTTCAACTCATCATCACCAAGAGACTACATTGATGCTTTTCTCTTAGAAATGGGGGAGGTAAGTGTTTTCAAAATGTGTTCTTGTTCATTTACATTTTTTAATGAAACATGTTTCCCACTTCTGGCTTTTGTCACTCTGATAGAAAGAGGACGAAGACTCTGGTTTTAGTCTCAGCAATTTGTGCATTTGCACCCTGGACTTGTTTGGTGCTGGAACTGAAACCACTACAACTACTTTACACTGGGGACTGCTATACATGATCTACTACCCTGACATTCAAGGTGTGTGTATGAACAATACTAATCCTGAATACACACTTGTGACCATCTTTCTATTCGTTTTTTTCAGGGATTTCTCACAGATCTTTCTTATGTTGGGAGAGAAAGATGTGTAAATTTCCCCCCTGGTTATCTAAGCAGCATAAACATCAGTTACTTTTTTAATAGTGCGAAATTGCAACAACAGCCACCAGTTTGTTTTCTCACTATGTGCAGAAAAAGTCCAGGCTGAGATCGATGCTGTGATCGGTTCATCCAGACAACCGTCTATGACTGACAGAGAAAACATGCCATATACTGATGCGGTCATCCATGAGATCCAGAGAATGGGCAACATCATTCCCCTCAATGTGGCCCATGTTGCAAACAGGGAAACGACAGTGGATAAGTACACAATCCCAAAGGTACACAAAGCAATTGTGAAGAGAAATTTTATAGCACTTTTGCATTTTCCTTTTTTTTTTCAGATAGATTTTGAATTAAAAACTAGGAAAGCCGTCCTTTTATTGTCTAATGCCAGGATTCTCAAAGTTGGTTGACTGAAATAAAGTTTTGTTTTGAATTCCAGAACATCCTAAACCTGTTGTGTTAAGTTAAACAAGCCTATATGTCACGTGAGAACACTGTAACTTCCATAAAAAGCTGCCCCAACTTCACCACAAAATGCAGAAAATATATCCAGTAAAACGTGTTTAAGCTAGAAAATAAAAGCTAGAGCAAGAGTGAGAATGGGACACAAATGAGATGGACTGAGATGCTGAGACATCCCAAAATATACTTGGGGCCAAAACATTAAACACAGTATGAATATAGTTAGTTTCAATTCAATTTTATTTAGATATCACCAAATCACAATAACTGTCACCTTGGGGTGCTGATTATTGTTAAAGTCCAACAATCAGATGGCTCCTTTTAGGGAATTACTTGGGAACAGTAGGAAGGAAAAACTACCTTTAAACAAGAAGAAACCTCCAGCAAAACCAGCTTCAGGGAAGGGCAGCCATCTGCTGTGACCAGACGAGGGGTGAGGGGAGGAGAAAGGAACAAAAAGACACACTGTGGAAGAGAGCCAGACATTAATAATAACTAATGATTAAATACAAAGAAATGGATGAACACATTGAGAATGAAAAAAGAAAGGGAAGGGGAAGGATTTTAAATGTAATTCTAGATTTAACTGGAAGCCAATGAAGAGAAGTGAATATGAATGAAATCTGTTCTGTCTTTCTAGTCCCTGTCAGAGCTCTTACTGCAGCATTTTGGATCAATGCTCGCTGAAGGCTTTTCAGTGAGCATTTATAGTGACCTGGCACTAATGAATAGTCTACTGTAGAAGTAATAAATGCACAAACAATTAGCAATACCAGAAACATGTATGACAAACTGACTAGCACAAACGCTAAAGAGACACAAATAAATAACGCTTCTAACTGGCTGTATTTTCTCAGGGTACAATGATCATACCTGCTCTACACTCGGTCTTAAATGACGAGACAATGTGGGAAACTCCAGACTCCTTCAACCCTCAACACTTTCTCGACCAGGATGGTAAATTCAGGAGGAGAGAGGCCTTTCTTCCTTTTTCTGCAGGTTAGTCAGTTGTTGCAGTTCATCAAAATCCATTTAAAGGCTGTTTAAAGCCAAGTGCTTTAAAGAGGCAAAATTACTGAAGGAGAATGTCTTGCCATTAACCTTTTGCCTTAGCAGCCATTTACAATAACAGTGTTAACTTTGCTGAGGATTAACTTCTAAATTGTGTGAATAAAACTTGTGTGTCTCATTGTGTATTCAGGCAAGCGTGTGTGTCTCGGGGAACAACTGGCCCGGATGGAGTTATTTCTGTTTTTTACCTCCCTCCTTCAGAGGTTTTCATTCTCTGCACCTGCTGGAGAGCAGCCCAGCCTGGAGTTTAAGTTAGGAGCCACTCGCAGTCCCAAACCTTACCGCCTCTGTGCCGTGCCACGTTAAACACCAGCTCTTTTAATCCGAGCACTTGTTTTCCCAGCAAAATGGATCGCAACAAATCACCGTCTACCATTACATTTATGTTGTATTGAATGATGATCTGCTATATTACTATTTCTTTAGATTAAAGTCAATTGTTATTTTTCATCCTCTCCATATTAAAATAGCAGTAAATATCTTCTCCTGCAACTTTCTTAAAGTCTTTTCCAGTGCACATTAAATTTGTCAGGCCTACCAAACTCATTGTGCTCAAATAAATCACACTGTCATTAGGATTTGTGTTTAAGGTCACAATATAGTTTCAGACTGAGTTTTAACGGGTGGGAGTGCAGTTCATTTCAGTGCTGTTTATCAGTTTGAGAATGCATGATGTAATCTGGACACTTCAGTTTCAATAAAAACTCTACTCTTTATTTAAAGGCTTTCAGAGTCACTTGTTGTCTTCATGAATAAAACACCACATTCTGGCATGTGAAGAAGTAAAGAACTTTTCTTGGGTGTAAATCAAACCTTTGCCTTTGCACACAAAGCAAATTCTGAGGTGTTCTTTATCTTCACATGTGCATGATATCAAATAACCAGTGAGAGAATGTCACCACATCTAAAGTAACCATGGTGAGGCAAATATTTAAATCCTTAAGTGAAAGCACTATTACCACACAAATACTACTAGTGACCAATAATTCAGCAATCTTAAGATTATAAACAAAGGACAATTATAGGCTGGATGTGAACCTCATTGCTGGCTGGAGCTTTTGTGTGGAATCTGCCTGTTCTCTGTACAGACACACAATGGGACACACCTCTAAAAGTGGTTGAAAACAGCAAGTTTCAGATTGGTGACAGTAAAATTGTGAGATTAAGAGGACTGAGGTACAATT